TCCCTATGTAGACCAGGCTGGCCTTGAACTCAATCTGCCTGCCTCTGCCTCCCAAGTGCTGGGACTACAGGCGTGCGCCACCACACCCGGTTCATGCCTTTTATCCCAGCACTCTACCAGCCTGATCTATGAAGCCAGCTGAGGTTACAGGGTGACCCTGTCTCAGAACAAAGAAAGAAAGAAACAAACGACCCTCCCCCCCAATGTAGAGTATTTGAAGAAAACCATAAACTGTTGGTTCATTCAGACAGATGCAGCTTGACTTACACTGTCCTGTCTGTTGCAAGCTAGTTCTTCCACTTGGCAATTCATCATTGTTAGACCCTCTGTGAATTTTCATTTTGAATAATGTTTTTCCTTTAAACATTCAGATGGATGAGGAGCGAGCCCAGATTGAGGAAGTTCTAGGAAGAGGAGAACAAATGTTGCATGAACCCATGGAAGACAATAAGAAAGAAAAGATCCGTTTGCAGTTGTTACTTTTACATACAAGATATAACAAAGTTAAGGTATGTGGGACCGTCTTTGTGGCTTTTAAAAATGTTACTCAGCTTGTACCATTCAGATCATTGATATAAACATGTATGAAAACTTTTAAGCAAACCAGTTATGAAATCATTACCCCTCCTTTCCTTTTTAAAAATTGTATTTATTTTTCATTGTTGGGGGAAAAAAACCCCAAACCTGCGCTTCATACATGCTTGACAGGTAGTCTACCAGTGAGCTACATCCCCAGCCCAGCTGTCTCCTTTCTACTGTGTTTTATGAGACCTGTTTATATTTTTGGACAGGGCAGTTTTCAAAGAAATAGAAACATAAAACTTTATTGTTGGTCATCTTGTTGGATGACCATCACATAATCATTCATGAAACCTAAAAGGTATCCATCCCTTTCAGAACTGACTTCCTAATTTATTTCTTTATAGTTAGAAGTCTTGGCCATGCTAACAAAACTTTAGTTCTCAGATCTGAATTCATGTAGTTGGTACAATATCATTTATATTAGAATGAAATTCACTGCTTGCTCTCCCTTAAGCGATGATCTCCCTAGTTACTTATTAGTTTTTAGTTTTTGAGACAGGGTCTCTCTGTAGCCCCAGTTGGCCTAGAATTTGATATGTAGGCCATGTTGACCTTGATCTCAAAGATATCCACCTGCCTCTGCCTCTGGAGTGCTGGGATTAAAGGTGTGCAGCACTGCGCCCAGCCCTAGTTACGTTTTAAGTAGGTCTGCTCTTCCCTAGGAATCTGTTCTTGGACATTCTTTCTGCATTTTATTTGACCATTTTGAATCTGAATGAATTTCTGTGTTTTGACTTGATGCCTATTGGATGTCTCTGTCTGCATGGCATTATGGTGTGATACAAAACCAAGTTGTATCTTCCTCCACCTCCAACCTTTATCTACTTTATTTTCTTTCTTAGTTACCTTAAAAACTAGTGGGTTTCTCAAGGAGGAAGCTTCAATTTCAGCTATGTTCTTGTCTGTCAGATATCTTGTTCATCACATTATTAAACAGGGCTCAGAAACCATTGAGCCTGGGGGTAGGAGATAACTGAGTTTGGAAAGTGTTTAACTGAATCATCTGAGTTCAAACCCCAGTGGTGGTGCATGCTTGTAATCCCAGTGCTGGGAGGCAGACAGGATCCCAGGAACTTGGTGGTCAGCCAATATAGCCTAATTGGAGAGCTCAAGGCCTCCACACATACACACAAAGTGTGCACGCATGCACGCGTGCGCGCGCACACACACACACACACACACACACTCAGGTGCATGCAGGTGCATGTGTGCCTGCCCACATAGGAATACATGTACACATGCATATCCATACAGATGCATTAAATAATCCTCATTGGGCTAAATAAAGCAATATATAGGTTTCAACTCAAATTTAGCACCAGGTATCTACCAATTCATTGTCATAGGACCACAGGAAAGTGACTCACTTCTCTTAGTTCACCATAGTTTCCATAATTCAGACTTGGATTGTATCCATTAGTTACTGCAGTATGTCTCCAGCTGGTTTTATCTTTTAGTTTTTGGTCAGTGTGTATGTGTACTTATGTGTGTGTGTACTTATGTGTGTGTGCAGGTGCAAGTGGAGGCCAGAGGTCAACCTCAGGTGTCATTCCTCAGGAGCTGTTCACGTTGCTTTTTGAGACTGTATTTCTAGGGCTTGCTAATTAGGCTAGTCTGGGCTGTCTGGCCAGTGAACCTCAGAGGTTCCATCCCCAGTGCTGGAATTACATGTGTTGGTCATCACGCCTGACTTTGTATAGAAATGCTGGGGCTTGAACGCGAAGTCTTGGGCTTTTGTGACAAACACTTTACAGACTTCCAACTGGTTTTCTTATGTTCAATTTTTAAAAAAACTCTCCTGCATCCTCTGTATCTTCCTCAGAATTATTTTCTGCAGAGTCGTGGACAACTGTACTGTTTTTTTGTTTGTTTTTTAACCTAAGAAAGTGTTCAAAAACATCGCAAAATACAGAAAAATATTTAGGTATAGTTTCATTGGTGTAATGATGACATAATCCACAGCTGGCTCTTCCTTGGGCTGTTGTCCGTCCCTGTTAGCCAGTTATTCTGACTTTTTTTTTTTTTAATAACACAAAATGCTCTAAACAACACTCTATTCTCTAGATTGGATTTTACTTTTTTTCCTCTGGAGTGGATTTTACTTTTTTTTTTTTTTGTCTGACTTGAAAAATGTTTTATCTTTTAAGATTTTGCTCCATTTTATACTTCTAAAATCTGTGCTCTTACAAAATAATTATTTGCTTTATTACTAATTATCAAAGTCTGCCTTCCAATCAGGCGTGGTGGTGCATGCCTTTATTCCCTCACTCTAGAGGCATAGGCAGGCAGACCTCTGTGCGTTCGAGACCAGCTAGGGATACATGGTGAGACTGTGTCTCACGTAAAACAACAGCAAAAAAGTCTTTCTTCCTTGGTTATTTAAGGATTCAGGCCCAATCTTATTTATCTTTAGTCATCTAATCAGAGATTAATACCTATTCAAAGTAGACATAATTTTTAGACTTTAATACATAAGTGAGAAGTTTCTATGATGCTAAAGCCTACTATTGTGGCACATTTCATATGATTTCATTAGCAATGCTTGTTGTAATTAAAAATATTTTGGTCCATTTCATTAGGCCAAATATGATGTGTTTTTCAAATTACAAAATGGTGTTCTTAACTGTGAACTTTAAAATCATTTGAGGAGCTTAGAAAAAAAAAAAGCAGCTGCAGTGGTGCTGGACCTCATCCCTCAGACCAGCTAAACCAGAACCCTTCAGGTTAGAGCCAGGAGTGGACATTTCAGAAGGAAAAGTCATTTCTTTTTTCCTTTCAATGTTTTTTCATATAAGTGGACATCGTACCTTGAGCTTGCCCCCTCCACACGTTCTCTCCCCTCTCCACTCTGCTCATCCCCTTTGTTCCTCTAGAAGTCCACTTTTCCTTTCGGGCCATAGATAGCTGTATGATTTTATCTATGTGAGACCTAGGAACCACAAATGAAATGTACAATATTTGTCTTTCTGAAACTGATTTAATTTGCTTCATTTGATTAAGTTGCCATCATTTTCTTGCTAACTACATTACTTTTTATGATGGAAAAGAATTCCATCATGTGTATGTACCATATTTTCTTTAAACATTCCTCTTTTGTTGGACACTTAAGTTGATCCCATAACTGAGCTATTGTGATCAGCACTGCAGTGAATGTAGGTGACTCTGATATGTGATCAGGGTTGGGAACCACAGGGAGGGCTCCTTTCCTTATGCAAAATATGTGTTAACTGGCCCTTTCCATTTGTTTCCTTGGGTTATTAACTGTTCCTAAATACGTATGAATGTGTGTGTGTGTGTGTGTGTGTGTGTATGTGTGTGTGTAATGACTTCATAGATGGCTCAGTAGGTAAAGCACTTCCTGTGCAAGTGTGAGGACCTAAGTTTGTATCCTTAGAATCCACGTAAACACTTAGTGGATATAGTGTCCCACCTAAAATTTTAGTGCTAAGAAGGCAGAAGCAGAGGATCCTTGAGCAAGCTGCTTGGCTAGCCTAGTGGTAATCGGCAAGCTCTGGGTTCAATAGAGGCACTCTGCTTCAATGAATATAGTGGAAATCCATTGAGGAAGTCTTCTGATGTCAGCCTCAGGCTACTGCATGTACACACTCTCTCTCTCTCTCTCTCTCTCTCTCTACTGCATGTACACACACTCTCTCTCTCTCT